GTACGATTTCAGAGATAAAGTACGTGAAAGTAGCAATTTAGTACAAAATTATTAATCGGTACAATTGTACTGAAATCAGTACATTGTTAGGGAATGCAGTACATTTTTTTTGAACTTTCCGTTTGTGATCTTACAGCTTGGTGAGTTTACTGCTTGCTATTAATCAAAACTGATAAAGTAAAACGTTTTACAAGTTTTGCTTTACCTTACTATTAAAAAAAAAAGGCTCCATTTTTCCTCTCTAAATTTTGTTCATTTTCAGTACGAATTTTGGTACATTTATTTTCTTCGGTGCGGCAACATTGTATATGAACACCTTTCATAAGATATTAATATTACCCTATATGTATATTAATATTGAGGATATAAAACCCTCATGTTACCGTAAACGGTATTAGGTCGAATTTAGACGTTAGTAAATCAACGGTTCACAATATTTTATAAACCGCAAAATATTCCTATTAAATAAACGTCATTCACGAGCAATTAGTCGTAGTTTTTGCAACTAGGACGAAGACTTTATCAAAACCATAATTTTTTCCGAGTAGAAAACATTTACATTGAGTAGACCCACATTATGCAAGAAAGACGCACTCAATATCACAAAACGATCAATGGAAAGATAGATTTTTTAGATTTTTTCAAAACGATCAGTGTTTTTGACACATCCGACATCCGATGTGAGATACATTAAGGGAAATTCCAATATTGTTGCAGACACTTTGTCCAGGACAAATATTGAATCTCTAAATTCTCAGTACCCCGATACACTTAAACTTTACAAAGCTCAACTCACAGATATCGAATTGTCGAACCTATTACATAAACAATTTTCTCACACTCACACTACACCCTATCAGTTATTGCTACAACCCACAACGCTACCTGATATCAAATTATGGTGTGAAATATTAACGGAATCTCCGCGAATTTATATTCCGCAGCAATTTAGAGAAATAGTTATAGAAAAATTTCATGGTTTATCTCATCCTGGCATACGAGCAACCATTCATTTAATAAAAACAAAATTCTTTTGGTCTCATATGTCGAAACAAATTCGTATTTGGACAAAATCATGTTTGCAATGCCAGAAAGTAAAAATTCAAAATAAAAATACAAAATCACCAATTCTCAAAGAATTGATTTGATTGACCCACTCAAGGACGACAGTTCGAATCACTATTATTTTCAAAATTCCAATTACTTTTAGGTACTCATCAAGTAACGGTATGATTGAACGATTTCACCGTACTTTGAAATCAGCGATTATTGCTCGAGGTAATTCTACTAGATGGAATAATTACTTGCCTTTGATTCTCCTAGATCTCAGGTCATCCCTAAAANAAATGATTCCAAGCAGAACTTGGAAAAATTTCCGAAAATACGAAAATTATAACAGAAATAATCCAGCCAACAGGACGCAGCAACACCTTTAACCATCACGATTTGAACCAATTAGCAACAAATAACTTAGCTTATCAGTTTCCTTTTGAATCTTCGGCTAAGCAAAATACGACTGCAACGTATTTTTCTGGGTATAGTCCCACATGATTGGTATGAACAATTAATATGTTTTTTTTTAATACCCAATCATGCTTCTGTTATTTTCTAAAATAAATATTTTTCTTACCTTCATGTATTCTTTATGCAGCACTTCATATATAGCTTCACATGTTTCCGAAATTATTGTACATAAGGATTGTGCAGATATTGCAGTGGTAAATTTCAAATCTTGGTAGTTTCGTCCAGTCGCTAAATATCTTAGGGTTGCAGTTAATCGTTCGTATACACTTATTGCCGGTCTCATGATTGTATTTTGATGGTGTATCAATAGAGTTACCATCTTCAACAGTAGCGAATAAATATCTTCGTCCATCCTAAGATAATTACGCCAATCATCCGGTTCTATTGTCAGTTCTGCCAATAGGTTAATGTGAGAAAACCTTTGCCGTTGCAGAAGCTAATTTTTACACCACATGCGGCGAGTTTTATTTTTTTTTATTCTTCATTTTGAGCACATTAGCGCACGCTAAGTCAACCACTTCCTTGGACATCGTTCCAGACACTAAGCAAAACTGCGGATTTTGTACGCAGACCTAGTGTACATTTTTGTATGCACGTTTTTGGATGTGCAAACATCAACGCGGGCATAAACGTCCGTCTGTAAGGGCCTTAAAAGAGTAAAGACCTGATTGAGGAGCATGATGGGAGCAGAAAGATTGACGGGATTATACTTGATGAGTGACATCGAGATTTAGTTAAAGCAAATCCGGAGCAATTCGACAAGAAAGTTTTAGGTACAAATCCAAGGCGACAGTTATTACAATAAAAATTTTACTACATTCGTTGAACGTAGTATCCAATAAAAAATATATAACATTTAATACATTATATATATATATATCATTTAAAAAATCATTTAAAAAATATCATTTAAATGTTGTAAGTATATAAAAGTTTAAAATTTCGAAATGTAATTAACAAATAAAAACTAATTAAAAATATTTTTTTTAAATGAAAATCCAGCGCCATCTATTGACCAAAAGTGAACATTACATATTGCTTATATACACCTAACACAAGTTTCTCCGGGCTAGTATCCCTGTTTATAGATATTCCTAGTTATACAAAGAATTTAATTCGAGCTCGTAATGACCAGATGGCAGGGTGATTTATATGTCGCAATTCTAAAATATTGAATTTTTGTAAAATTTTTAAAAAAATCTAGCCTTACTACGAGAAACGTAAAATAAGTTGCATATATTTTAATATTNGGTATTCCTACCATGATCACTCACGATCAAGGACGACAATTCGAATCACTATTATTTTCAAAATTCCAATTATTTTTAGGTACTCATCAAATACACACATCTGCTTATCACCCACAAAGTAACGGTATGATTGAACGATTTCACCGTACTTTGAAATCAGCGATTATTGCTCGAGGTAATTCTACTAGATGGAACAATGACTTGCCTTTGATTCTCCTAGGTCTCAGGTCATCCCTAAAGGAGGATTTAGGTTGCTCATCCGCTGAATTGGTTTATGGTCAGCAACTCAGATTACCAGGAGAATTTTTCTTACCTACCGAACCATCAATTGAAACTGAACCATTATTATCACGTTTAAAATCATCTTTTGCTGACATTAAACCAGTTCAGTCAACCATACATTCCAGCCAAAAACCTTTTGTTCACAAAGAATTATTCAGGTCAAACTTTGTATTTGTTAAAATTACTGGAATTAAACCTACGTTGTCTCCTAGGTACGAAGGTACCTTCAGAGTGTTGAAGAGATTTTCAAAATTTTTTGTTGTATTGAAAGACAGTAAAGAAATAAATGTTAAAAGGCTCGATTTGCTGAAACCAGCTTTCTTTTTGAACGAGAACGTTTCTCCTGAATACAACAATTTCCCTCTTTCTGTTTTTTCTTTATAGGAGGGGAAGTGGATGTAGCGTGCTGTGGCAGCTGCTCCATTTTAAAAAACATAAAATGTAATGCTTCATTTGTTATTTTTTATATTTGAACACAATTGTTTTTGAAGACAAATATAACAGACGCAAAATAAAAAGTCTGCCAAATAGTTAATTTTATAATTTTATCATTATGTTGGCTAATACCTCATAGCCACAATTTCGTTTGTTTAGTTAAGGGTTGGAATGCATTTGTGTGTTTATATTTAAATCTTTGTATAAGGGTTTTATCAAACCTGATGTACTCTAATAATAATTAGAAAGCAGCTCTTGTAGAAGCTTATTGTAGTTTTAAACACCTCAATCCCCATCTTTCTTAGGTCCCACAACTCGTTCAGGGTCCTATGGCCGAACTTTTTGTCCCTGCCAAAGTTAGTAACCCAAAAAACGCCTTTATTGTTGTCTTGTTGGATGTCTTATAGGCTGATCTATTGATTTTATGTTTCTCTTTGTCGAAATCAAGTCTTTGGTTTGTATGTTTAGTACAAAGTCCATAATTTGATCATCGGTGAAAAGTGAAAAACATTCAACAGGTAAGTTACAATTTTTTGCTGATCCTCTGGATCCAGGCAAGTGAGAAACAATATGTTGTTGTCTTGTCCTACCTCAACGTTTCGGTTTTTATCGCCATTTGAGTTTTTTTCTCCTTACTAATGAAACCTGCAATGGCAGGTTCTTTATTGTTAGTTTCTTCGTCGTCGATCTCCGTCTCCGTGTCGAAAGCGTGGCTTGATTCTTCTACATAATCATTCTTAGAAGTTCTTGCAATATTGTACGAATATGTGTAGTTATCTAACCAAGCATTCATTTTTTAAAATTGTACCAATTCACAAAATTTAAATAAAAACCCCTTGTGCAACCCGCAATTGTGTTACAAACGGGAAGAGAAACAACCGCTGTGTCTAACATGAAACTTTACGTACTGGTGGAGAGGGTACAGATAAGAGAATTGATAGTGTCAGGTCAATGTCGCTAACCTAGACAAAAACTACTAGCATACAGGTTGATTCTCACTATACGTTCCGTCTCCGTTCCATAACCGTTACAAATACGTTCCGTTAAATTGTTGTCTGTTCACACTATACGTTTCGTCTCCGTTCCTTAACCATTACATATACGTTCCGTTAAATTGTTGTCTGTTCACATTTTCCATTCCTGATCAGTTTCATTTACATAAAAGTAGTATGCGTGTTGACAAAATGTGGTCTGATGAAAACTTGATTATAGTTGATATTCGATTAGATGAAAAAGTTAAATTAAAAAGGAAAAAACGAAGATTTTGAGTGCATAATATGTTAAAGAAAAGAAATATTGAGGGAGAATATACAACATTATTTAGAGAACTGAGCGATGACGAAACCAAATTTTTTGAGTATTTCCGGATGTCAAAATATAAATTCCACGAATTACTGTTAATCATTGAGCCGGTGATAACAAAACAAAAAACAACATTCAGGGAGACGATAACAGCAAAATAAAAACTATGTTTTTTAAGGTAAGTTGTTTATTTATAATGGCATTAATACAAAAAAAATGTAAGTTATTCAATATTTGCATAATCATAAAATGATTCTATGTATGAAGCAGCTGTTGAATTTGAAGTAGCAGGGGAGGGCGTAGACGCTGGAGCAGTTCGGGTGTGAAAATTGTAATTGTTGCTAGTGTACGTTTGAAGGTTGATTGGTTATTAAAATTTGCTCTAGTATATCTTGTACCAAATTAAAGATCCTACTTTCTGCAATTTTTCTATAATACGGCGTAAAGGGTTTAACCTTTGCAAAAATATTTTCAAAAAATATACCTGTTGAATCTTTTACTGCAGGAAGACTTGTTTCTTCTCTTCTTTGCTTTCCAACAAGGTACTTCATTAGTACTCCAGTAGCGGATTCATCTTGTTTTCTTTTCGATGGTCGGTTTAGGTTAGAAGAACATCGGAGTCGTGTAGGTGTTGGCGTAGATTTAGTTTGAGCAGGAGAAACTGTAACCTCTTCTGCGTTTTCCAGTTCATCAATAACTTGGGTCCCAATAGCCGCAATATTTCCGTCTCGTTCTTCTTCTTCATTCACGTCAATATCGTCAAGATTGCCAATTGTTTCTCGTTGGCGCGAAAATGGTTCTAAAAACCTCATTTGTTCTTCAAATCGCCATTTTTTTTTATTGGCTTACTCGCTTGTCCCGATTTCGTCAGTTTATTTTTTTTATTTTTTCGCCACTGATCTCTCAACTGATTCCATCTATTTTTGCAAGTCGACCCTATACATAGAAAAAGTATTTATTCGAAAAGGTTTATTTATATATTTTATAAATATTGTAAAAGTTTAAAAGTTAAATCTTTACTATTATTTGTTTGTTAAGGTTTTTAGCAACGGGCGATTCTTTCTGCACAATAGGTTTTAGCTACAGACTCGAGCATTCAACAGTATGCAATATAGTAAAAGAAGTCTGCGATGCAATAATTCAGAAAACATTGCGTACGTTGATGCCTACACCCACGGAAGATGACTGGAAAAGAATTGCTAATGAATTTTGCAGTATTTGGAATTTCCCCAATTGTTTGGGAACTCTTGACGGGAAACACATCGTGATACAAGCTCCAACTAATTTCGGCTCTCAATTTTTTAATTACAAAAAATCCTTTTCGATAGTTCTCCTAGCACTGGTCGATGCGCAATATAATTTTATTACCGTTGATATTGGATCATACGGGAAAACAGCGATGGAGGCATTTTTGCCCACTCAACTTTAGGAAGGGCTTTAGAACAAAATAACTTAAATATCCCTTATCCCGTAGAACTGCCCGGTACCAACCAAAAGGCAAATTTTATGATAGTAGGGGATAAAGCTTTTCCCTTAAAACCTAATTTATTAAGACCATATTCTCCTGCTCAACAACGAGACGATACAACAAAGAAAATATTTAATTATACATAGATTATCACGTACTCGAAGATGCTCCGAAAACGATTTAAAAAGATGCTATTTTAGATCAAAAATTTCAATTTTATAATAGAAGATTAAAATCTGTAGCACAATATGCTGATAAAATTGTCATAACTACATGTTTACTGCATAATTTTATCAAAGACTATCAAATCAATTTCACAGCTACCAACTCTACCTTAGAAAATTTGCCACACCAAGGAGGAAATGCAACAGCTACTGCGTTTCAACTAAAAGACATTTACAAAGATTTTTTTAATTCTCCAACAGTAGCTGTTGACTGGCAAAAGAGTGCAATTTAAAAAGTTTACCATTATATTAATCCGTAGTTACATTTCATATGTATATACTAATACGCTTGTAATAAAATGATTAGTTAAAGTTATGAAAATATTCTTTTTACTTACCCAGTGTGACGTTTAGTTCCTTTGAAATAACTGACCTTTGAAATCTTGTCTTTATAGTGATATATATACTACTGCTCCTACTACATACTACGTTGGCTGCAGGGTTAAAAAAATAAACAATTCATAAAGAGCATACACGATTTATTTCGTTCTATTATAATAATAAATTTAATATTATATAACTAAAAATCAAGAAACAACCTTCTATAGGTATCATTGGAATCGTATTCTTTTAGCCCCATTAAAACCAAAGTATAANTTTACATAAAAGTAGAATATGCGTGTTGACAAAATGTGGTCTGATGAAAACTTGATTATAGTTGATATTCGATTAGATGAAAAAGTTAAGTTAAAAAGGAAAAAACGAAGATTTTGTGCGCATAATATGTTAAAGAAAAGAAATATTGAGGGAGAATATACAACATTATTTAGAGAACTGAGCGATGACGAAACCAAATTTTTTGAGTATTTCCGGATGTCAAAATATAAATTCCACGAATAACTGTTAATCATTGAGCCGGTGATAACAAAACAAAGAACAACACTCAGGGAGACGATAACAGCAAAACAAAAACTATGTGTTTTTTGAGGTAAGTTGTTTATTTATTACGGCAATAATACAAAAAAAATTGTAAGTTATTCAATATTTGCATGATCATAAAATGATTCTATGTATGAAGCAGCTGTTGAATTTGAAGTAGCAGGGGAGGACGTAGACGCTGGAGCAGTTCGGGTGTGAAAATTGTAATTGTTGCTAGTGTACGTTTGAAGGTTGATTGGTTATTAAAATTTGCTCTAGTTCCATATCTTGTACCAAATTAAAGATCCTACTTTCTGCAATGTTTCTATAATACGGCGTAAAGCGTTTAACCTTTGCAGCAATATTTTCAAAAAACATATCTGTTGAATCTTTTACTGCAGGAAGACTTGTTTCTTCTCTTCTTTGCTTTCCAACAAGGTACTTCATTAGTACTCCAGTAGCGGATTCATCTTGTTTTCTTTTCGATGGTCGGTTTAGGTTAGAAGAACATCGGAGTCGTGTAGGTGTTGTCGTAGATTTAGTTTGAGCAGGAGAAACTGTAACCCTTTCTGCGTTTTCAAGTTCATCAATAACTTGGATCCCAATAGCCGCAATATTTTCGTCTCGTTCTTCTTCTTCAACTGATTCCATCTCTTTTTGCAAGTCGACCCTATACATAGAAAAAGTATTTATTCGAAAAGGTTTATTTATATATCGTATAAATATTGTAAAAGTTAAATCTTTACTATTTTTTGTTTGTTAAGGTTTTTAGCAACGGGCGATTCTTTCCGCACAATAGGTTTTAGCTACAGACTCGGGCATTCAACAGTATGCAATATAGTAAACGAAGTCTGCGATGCAATAATTCATAAAACATTGCGTACGTTGATGCCTACACCCACGGAAGATGACTGGAAAAGAATTGCTAATGAATTTTGGAGTAAATTGAATAAATATTACTTTCTATTTTACTGTTAATCGATGTATTAATTTAAATATTTCCTTTACATGTTTCGGCTTATTAGGCCATCATCAGAAGGTTTAACGTTAATATGGTTGGAGAGGAATTGGAACATTAATTTAACTTTATATTACTAATAACATCAAGGGAACGATGTTCATTTAATTGGGCCGAGATTTGAGGTCAACCTCAGGTTAATTATGCCACTCGCTACGCTCGTGACATAAACTTAACCTTCGTGAATAATAGCCCTCATTATATGCTCATATAATAATATACTATTAAATGTAAATTAATGTAATAACACACTATGTAAGTAATAAATATTATTTATGTGTAAGTGAACAAATCCTCATTCAAACAAATCACCTCCTAATACGGCACACATTTGAAGACGAGTTCTAAATTCTTTATAAGAATTACGAATTTCCGCCACTGTAAACAATTTGTTTCAATCGTAACCAAAAATAAAAATCCATAATTGTAAGACCAGGACTACGTGGTGGCCATCAAATAGGAACATTTCGTCCAATCCATTTTTGACGAAATTGTAAATTTAACCATTTGGCACAATGTGTGAATGGTAAGCTGAGCAACTGTCTTGCTGAAAGTACACTGACCGTATAAAATTTAAGGGTAATTGGATTTACATCACTCCAATAACGACAATGCTGGGAAAAAACAACGTCATTTGTTGAAAAGTTATTAGAGAAGCAGCGTCTTCCTCATTTAGTCTCTTTGTCTGCTTCTTTATGGATAATTCAGAACCCGTTTCCAAAATTTTTTTTATAAGTTTGATAGCTCCAACATGAGATATTCTTGTGTTGGATATTTTTGCTGGAATTATTGTATAACTTCACGAAAACATGATTCACCAGTACCATAGCACTGTACTAAATAAATTCTCTCTTTCACGGTTAACATCGCATGAAAACACTTAATCTCACCAACATAAGTTGTAACTTTTATGGTTTCTATGGTTACATATCATAAATTGAACTTGAATAATTTTCAATTTAGAAAAAAGTCTAATTTTTACATAAAAATGGGAATAATTAGTTAACTTTTATAGCTAGAGTATAAAATTTATGCGATTTAGGCCCACTTTTACCACCTCTAGTTAAACTGGTCGTTAGTCTAACTATCGGATAACGTTTATCTATTCGTTAACTGCGAAACGACTTTTACCGTTTTGATCTAACTAATGGATAGGCTATCTAGTAGTTAACGTAAAAATCTAGGGGAATATTATAATTACTGTTGGTGACTACATGTAAAAGAGGTATTACAGGTTTCTATCTCCTTTGTCCGTCGGTAATGGTCGGTAATTCGTGGGTAATTCTCATAAACCTGTCAGTTCTGTTAGTGGCAATTAACGATCACGAAAAAATAAAAACCGCAAATCAGGCCAAAAAGCGTATTCGGGGGCAAATTTTAAACCTGAAGAAATAACACTTTTATTTGACTTGGTGGCGGATCATAAAAATGTCCTCGAAAATAAAAATAGCCATGTTAGTGCGTGGAAAATAACATTTGTTTTGCAAACAACAAGGAAAAGTAAACGTACAATCAAAATACTAACTAACCTACTATGTATTTATAAAAAATTGATCTGCTTTATATGGTATAGTGTCCAATAAAGCTGTCCACGATACCTATAATGAGTTATTAAAGAAAAGATTAGAGTTAACAACATTAATGTTAGAAAATGAGAAGGAAAGAGGTGGAAGTGATAAAATTGAAAAAAGAAGTGGAGATAAAAAAATTAAGAAAAGAAAAAGACAGTTAATCTATTTTTTAAATACTTGTTGACAATATTTAAATGATAATAAAGTTTATTTTTATAAGTTCCAAAAATAATTGATAACTACTAATCTTCTATTATTGACCTGAAGCTAATGATTTGCTGATTCCACAAGTCAACTACATCCAATAACATGTGGCCTGTAGCAAAAAAATCTTAAAGTAAGCAACAATCTATTTGAAACAGGGATTGCAGAATTTCTAAAAAAAATAATTATTAACTCTTCTACTGATAAAAACTAGGTGCTATACATATATAATACTTCCTCGTTCGTGGTTAGATGTCATTATCAATTTGTGCTAAAATGTGGTGAAAACACACATTCCTTTGATAATCGAAATCTTTTAATAAATTCATCAGTTTGATGGTGGTCTATTCTGTCTTTTATTACGCGTCCACCCCGAATGGGAAATAGATAATTAATTTTCTCCAAGATTTCTTGCCCATCAATATCAAACCTTTCGAAATCCATGATTTTTTATTCTATCGCTGTGTAACACTGTTATAACACGACTATAACACTGTTTTAATCACTATTATGAAGTTCTGAGCGAAAGTAAGCGTTTATTATGATTTTAGGTTAGATTTATGTTACGCCATCTGGTTAAAAATACCTTCAACCAAGTTTATCAATGAGGTAAATATTTAACCCGACCCCCAAACCGATAGTTATGAATAGACCGAAAATAACTATTAGTTAGCGCTATCAATAAGGTAAATATGGTGGTAAAAGCCGATTTTTGCGCTAACCATTAGTTAAAGTTAACAACCACTTTAACTAGAGGTGGTAAAAGTGGGCCTTAGGTCCATTACTACCATCTTTTAGTTAAATTTATCTTATAGATAAACCCATCTACTAGCCAATCAGAGCGCGTAAAATAGCCGTAACCTTGGTAATAATCCCTTAGATTTCTAAAGGTATCATTGGAATCGTATTCTTTTAGCCCCATTAAAACCAAAGTATAACATGTAGGGGATTCATTAAAAAAAATAAAATTGACCCATTTTCCAGAACAACTAAGAGTGATAAAAAAATTTATTCTAAAATATTTGGAGTTAGTCCCCCATTTTTTGATTTTTAAATTTTTTATAGTTGTTCTAGATTGTTCTAGAAAGAACCGAAAAGACAGGTTTTTTGACTAGCCCCCGATTTTTGGAAAAGTCAAATTTTCTTTGTTGTTCTGGGTTGTTCTAGTTGTTCTAGTTATTGTTCTAGAAAATCAAAATTATGGGATACAGTATTACGAAGTTATAGTTAAAAATAGGTTTGGCTGCCGAAATGTCTAGTTGATTGCTGTGACCATAGTTTTTCCATATTACAAATATATACTTATTATAGCTAACGCAATCTGGAACAGCTATTATTTTCACTAGAACAACTCTCTAAAGGGCACTTTACTCTTTGAAAATTAAAGTTTTTGGAAGTTTAGTCAGTAATTCTTGTGTCAGCGATTTTATATTACACAATAAGAATTAAAAAACATAGAACAATCTAAAATAACTCAAACTTTGCCGATTCAAATTGTTCTAGATGTGTTTTATGTTTAACACGGACATTAATTTTGCAAAATCACATATTTTTTGTTGCTCTAAATTGTTCTTGTTGTTCCAGGTACTTAAAAAGTTTATTTAATCACTGCGGCTTTAGTTCTTTTAAAGTTTCATATTAAAAATTAGTACTTACAACAATTAAAACAATTCAGAACAGCTGTTATTTTCACTAGAAAAACCTTAAATTTCAGTTATTGTGATATCGGACAGATTTTGTTGAATCAGTGAACCCAACCTTTAATGTAATAATAGTTTTAAAAAACTAAAAAAATATGGAATAATCTGACCATCCTAATTTTCTAAAAATCACAAGTTTCACCTTTCTCTTTAAACTTATAATAGTAAAACATAAGTTGCGATTTAAAGTGTATAAACTAAGTAATAAATTAATAAATAAACTAAACTAACAAATAATACAATAACTATTCGATCGATATTACTATATCAGTACAATAACTTATTCTAAGGTAAACTATAACTAAATAAACTAAATTATGTAAATAAACTAATATCATGGAATAATACGGTTACATCACTTTGCTCATTTATAAACATATATCCACATTTGTGCATTTATTTCAGTAGCTTTTTCAAGTTGTACGGATTTTTTTCGTAAGTCATTAAATAATATCCAACTGGCATTGTTGGGCACAAATGCCGGGTAGTGTCCTACATCATTCAAAGATTGAGTACCTTCATAACTGATGATACTTGCGGGGATATAGAATTTGTTGTGGAGTTACAAATTGCGTGCGTAATCACTCAATTTTGTTTTATTGTTCTCTCCATTGGTTGTTTCTATAAACAACATCTCTCCATATTGAAGGCTAATGCTTGCGTCACAACCACATTTTTTTGCGATTGTTGCTTAGAGTTTACGTGTAGTTTTCTTTTACTTGCTTTAGCTGTGCATAGCCAAATATTGTTACGACGTCAATGTCGATTGGTAAAATTATGTTTTTATGGAAGGTAACGTTTAAACAATTGTTGCAGTTTTTAGTCCTACAATAACTAAATTCTTCTTTAAATAGTTGTGTGCAAAGAAACGCAATATTTGAAATAGCATTCACTATTATCACTCCAGCAATTTTCTGGCCTCCAAAATAATTTATTCCTGTTAATAGTTCAGTTCTTTTTTTATATGTTGCTTTACCGGTTTTTAAAAATAATTTTAGAAAACTAAACCGATCTGTGCAAACATTCTCAACATGATTTCTAAATGAATTGTGTGTACGGGCAAATGCTAAACTATGAAATATACTGTTGTATGAAATATACTGTCGAATCCGCAAGTATTTTGAACAATATATTTTTTATTTTTTATTGAAATAGATATTAATGAAACTTACTTATGAACTTATGAAAGAATTGCTAACTGAAACTTCCAAAAATTTTAATTTTCAAAGAGTAAAGTGTTCTTTATAGAGTTGTTCTAGTGAAAATATTAGCTGTTCCAGATTGCTTAGGTATAATAAGTATATATTTGTGATATGGAACTGAAAATAGGAAAACTATGGTCACAGCAATCAACTAGACATTTTGGCAGCCCAACCTACTTTTGTTAGTTTAGTTTATTTATTAATTAATTACATAGTTTTACAAAATAAAATACACTTTAAATCGCAACTTATGTTTTATTATTATAAGTTTAAAGGGAAAGGTGATTTTTAGGAAATTAGATGGTCAGATTATTTCATATTTTTTTAGTTTTTTAAAACTATTATTATATTAAAGGTTGGGTTCACTGATTCAACAAAACCTGTCCGATATCACAACAACTCAAATTTAAGGTTTTTCTAGTGAAAATAACAGCTGTTCTGAATTGTTTTAATTGTTGTAAGTACTAATTTGTAATATGAAACTTTAAAAGAACTAAAGCCGCAGTGATTAAATAAACATTTTAAGTACCTAGAACAACAAGAACAATTTAGAGCAACAAAAAATATGTGATTTTGCAAAATTAATGTCCGTGTTAAACGTAAAACACATCTAGAACAATTTGAATCGGCAAAGTTTGAGTTATTTTAGATTGTTCTATGTTTTTTAATTCTTATTGTGTAATATAAAACCGCTGACACAAGAATTACTGACTAAACTTCCAAAAACTTTAATTTTCAAAGAGTAAAGTGCCCTTTAGAGAGTTGTTCTAGTGAAAATAATAGCTGTTCCAGATTGCGTTAGCTATAATAAGTATATATTTGTAATATGGAATTGATAATAGAAAAACTATCGTCACAGCAATCAACTAGACATTTCGGCGGCCAAACCTATTTTTAGTTATAACTTCGTAATGCTGTATCCCATAATTTTGATTTTCTAGAACAATAACTAGAACAACCCAGAACAACAAAGAAAATTTGGTTTTTCCAAAAATGGGGGGCTAGTCAAAAAACCAGTTTTTTCGGGTTTCTCGCGGAGTTTATATTTTTTCGATTTGCCGCTTTGGAACAATGTAGAACAATTCTAGAACAATCAAGAACAACAATGAAAAATTTAAAAATCAAAAAATAGGGGGTTAACTTCCTGCACTCAAATATTTGGGCTAATAATAAACAAATTCGACGCAATTTTGCTTATGACGATATCTTGAGCCGTTTTCAAATTAGCCACGGGGGGTTACTTTTGACGCGGACTGTATATCAAGAACAATGATAGGCTCAGCTGACAACCATTTCCCATAGTTTCTCTTTGTTTGTAAAGGCTATTATTTTCTATCATAACAGTTTTTGAATTATTACCAATTATAATTGTATTTATAACTACAATTAAATATTACTTCATTATTATTAAGTCTATTACAATTTATTAAATCTTGATATATTTTTTGGGTAATTTAGTTTGAACAAACTTAATTAGATAATACATATCTTAAATTTTTCTTATAAAATTAATATAGAACCTCTACGTTAGCAGTTGAAATAGAAAACTCAATCAAGTTTCTTACTCACTCACTTTCGCGCACCTCTCTAACGGGTACTTTTTCACCAGACCATGATCTCAGTCGTTTGGAATCGAGTGGGGGGGGCTCCAGTCAGAAGACTGGAGCCGAGCCGCAAGTTGCCAATGATGCAAGGTCGACCAAACGAGTACAGTTAGTTACCTGCAGACGTTATACGTTACGGCATCGTTGTTAATCTCGGTCTATCTTTCTTTTTCATCGTCTATTAAATTTGTGAACGTTACACGATGACGTCCCCATCGAGTTTAGACGGACTTCCCAAAACATTTGTGACCGCGATGAGGACACTCTTCGACGTGATGGACGATAAGGGAACTGGTCACGTACATTTTTCTGAAATAGAAAACTGGTGGCAAGACGACGGTTCGAAAGGTATTCCAAAGGGTTTTTTAGAGAGTTTAAGAAAAGTAACGCCTACAAATGGATTATTAACTTTTGAAAGATTTTGTGCCGGATCAAAAATTTGTTTGATGAGATATCAAGTAGAACAAAGGAATCAAAGTCCTATTAAAAAAGATCAAAATAGACCGCCCTCCGCGCCTTTATTAGATATCGATACGATTCCCGCGAAAACGACTACTTGGAGTAGTAATACAGCGGCGATTCGACCAAATAACGTATTAACACAACAACGAACGCTTAGTATGCCGCAATTATTACCAAAGGAACCTCAACAAATCGAAACATCAAACATACGAAATTCCGATCAAATTCAAAAATCTGTTTCAAAACCAACCAAACCTTGTAATACATTATACGGCCCTCCAAAACCACCTAGAACACTCGGAATTTCCACAACATCCGGTGGTAATTTAGATCGGGCTGAAATAAGAAACGCGCTTCAAAATTGGCAAATGGGAGTGATTATGAATGACCAAGAAAATAATAAAAATGATAAGAGGTTTGGAAATGCGCGAGGTGGACGTAGTATGGGAGATGGTAAAGCACAGAATGAAGTTCAAGTAGTAACACAAAACCAAGGAGGAATTTATCAAAAAAAGGTGAATGTGCGAAGGCGGGAACCGAGAAGGCACACTCTTCAGAACGGGATCGACTATAATATGCTGAAGAGGATGAAACAGATTGAGCAGGAAAAAGACGTTCTTATGCAAGGGCTTGGTGCCATAGAGAAGGCCAGAGAATGGTACCTCAAACAGGTTGCAGCCGTACAAGAGAAAATGAAGTATTTGGGAAGGATGGGAACTCATGTTGTAAGTATATTTATGCTTCCTAGATATTCTTTTTTTAAATTAAACTTCATATACATACTACCAATTTCAATTCTTCAATGGAATGTTTAGTAACCGTTTATTAGATATTACGCAACTAACACCTGACGCAGTAATTATTGCCGGAACATTTAACAAAACGATAATTTTACGCCAAAGAATGTAGTACTTTCAATCGTCCAACATGTGTTTATTTCATAACACCACCGTTTGACATTTTTTATTACTGCAATTCATTAATATTCTATATGGAAAAAGAAATTACAACTCAATAAAAAAATAATTCATCGACACAAAACTTATCGTCATCGTAAACGTGTTTTGAATTACTAAATTAACCCATTATTCAGTTCCATTCTGTTTCTTTAAATACCGCTTCTTTGTTATTTACCGTTTAGAAATGTTTGATGAATTGCAATTCGTGCACGTAAAAGTTAATTTAAATCATACACATCGCAAAACAATAGGGTCGGAATATTAAACTATTCATATTCCCAACCATTAACTCTGTGGAAAACTAGGTTAGCAGTTACCTACTAACACTTACATGTATACAATGCGTTTGTGCAACTATGAGGGGTCACGACATCGCCAACAGAAATTTCTTACTTAATCAACTGAAGCTCTGTAAATGTTAGCGATGCGAATTAATTTAATGGTCATTACATAAGATAAGGAATTCACAATTTTGCTCGTTACGTATTTAATGTTGTCTATTTTAATTTTAAGGTTGTGTTATAATGCTTAATTTAATATGGTTTTAGAAGAAATATTAACTAATCAACTCAATCTAATTTTGTAAATAAATTAATGCAAAATTATGTCATTACAAAAAATTGGTTTACACCAAATTGGTTGAAATATGCAATTCTGATTGATAGAAAGTGCAGTTAACTATTAAACTTATAACTTAATCAGTCTCATCTCACGCAACCATGACTTCTCAATATTTTACTGGTGCCCATGACAAGCTACTATTGATGTTAGCTTCAAGCAGTTATCATGAAATAGCCAAAGAAGTTTTAATTTAATCTGCCAGAAACTGATAAATAAATAATCGTTTATTATTGTTTATTGTGCAAAGCTACAAACAAGCAAAAAAAATTATAGCAGTTTAACAACAATAAATACATTAAATACAAGTTATTATCACGAAACTAAGGAAAGCTACTAATTATTCGCTTCGCACAACCGCCGGGCGACAATTTAGGAACAACGACCTGATCTTCCATTGTCACCCTGATACAAAAGAAATAGAAAAAAAAATAAAGTATACAAAATAAAAAGATTAATATAATAGAGACTAATTCATATTCCGATTACTTAAACCAATCTACATCAGACACAAGTAAGAGAAGAGAAAAAAGATAAATGCGCATATATAAATTTTACAGACTTAATATAAAAATATCAAAAATTGAACGGAAACAAAAATAAAAATAGAAAAAGCAAAAATCAAAAATGCCAGACCGCCAAATAACCAACCAGTGCTACCAACTGAAAGCGTCGCCCAACACATTCAAATATCGTCCCTGATTGATAATCAAAGTTTCACTCTCGAGTAGCCCCGCATAAAGTTCCATTCGAAACCGCGCCACATCTGCAGCATCCTAAACTCAATAGGCAACTCATTATATGATTTGTATATATTGTAGGAAAATGAACGTTTAAACATTGAAGTTCTGTGATACGGGGGATAAATGTCGTATCTTCCTCTTGTATCATGAGTCCGAACCAAAAAGTTAAAACGAATTTTATTAACACGAGCGGTGAGGATAAATCATCCGCAAGCCCATATATGCATTTTTTATGTACCGGCTAATTTGAGTGCCATATCTAAAGTCATTTGACAAAAAAAGACCCAAACTCGTAGCCTCCTCCACAATGGGGAGGGTACATCCATCTATGTTAATGTTTATTAGATTTTTCAACTCTGCACAGACACGCCGATTGCCGACCTGCACAACCGCAGATTTAGCTGGATTTAATTTCAACTGATGCATATTTGGTGTTACCCACAGGGTGTGGAGGTCTAGATTGATTTTCTCTTGAGCAGCTATATATTTCACAAGTTTGAAAGAATAATATATCTGAGTATCATCGGCATACATATGTAACTTATTGAATTTAATGCCTTTAAAAATAAGTGAAGTGTATAAGGTATAGAAGAGTGGCGCGATTATTGAACCCTGTGGGACACCATGCTCTACCAGTCTAGGAGCAGACAACATATTATCAATTTGAACAGCTTGGCAACGATCATTTAAGTAACTATCAAGGAGTTGCCGTCCAGACTTATTCAGACCAAAGTATTTTAAAATTTTTAATAACGTTATGTGGTTAACCGTATCAAACGCCTTACTATAATCCAACAACGTCATTATTGTAATAGCGCCCCTATCTTTAGCCTCCATAATGTCGTCCGTAACAGCCAACATCGCCATCGTACAACTATGTCCCTCCCTAAATCCAGACTGAGTATGTGGAAGGATATAATATAGATTGGCAAATTGTGACAGATGATTCTGGATCACCCTCTCAAAGACCTTACAAGGAAATGGGAGGATGCTAATCGGCGGAGGTCATTAAAAGACGAAAGTTTTGAAATTTTAGGTATAGGTTTGACTATTGCACATTTCCAACAGTCTGGTACCGTGCTCCCCATCGAGCATAAGTTGATAATATGCGTAACATAAGGCAACACCGTAGGACAGCACAGCTTTATCATCTGCGAACTTAAACCGTCAGAACCCGCTGAAGACCATTTAGAGTTATAGATAATATCTTTTATCGCGTCAACGGTAACAGGTAAAAATTCAAAGTTTCTGCCTGGAAAAGGGGAACAATCATACCCAACATTTGAGATATCACCTTCACATCGAAGTCATGGTAGCGAAAGCCCTGCGTAACCTAGGGTTTGTTATCAGAACAAGTAGACAGTTTACCAATTTTACAAGTATTAAATCTCGTTATATGGCATTTGTCATAGCGTATTATCCTATGGTTCCATAGTGTGGAATCCTATGTACGCGGTCTATCGTGATCGCATCGAAGCGGTTCAACGACGCTTTGTACGCTATCTGGCTTACAAATATCATCTTCCCTATTGCGATTACGATAGACGCTGTGTGGTTTTTAACTTGTTATCCCTGCGGCAGCGTCGGCTAGTCTCTGACTTAATCTTTCTTTTCAAACTGGTCAATGGCTTGCTGGACGCACCTGACCTTCTGTCTGTGTTGAACTTTAATGTACCACAGCGTTTCACCCGGCGGAATATAACATTCCTTTTAGGCACATCGAACACGAACGCTCATCAAAACTCGCCTATTGTTCGGCTTTTGAATACTTACAATCAGCACTTCAACCATGTTACTCTATTTGGACTCTCGTTGTGCTCATTTAGAGAATTACTATTACGAAACGTTTAGTTGTTAACTTCTGTATTGTAGTGCAATAATATAATATTTTTCGCTTTTTTTTGTAATTTTTTTTTAATTAGCAACTATTCACTGCTGTTATTATTATTTTACATAGTTAATGTTATAATTATTGTTATTTTTTTTTCGTTTTTTTTGCTTAGTATGTAGTTAACTGCTTTGTTTTTATGAGAATGCTGCGCGGGGGATATCCTCCCTGTTTGTGTCCCAATAATAAATAAATAAATAAACATTGCGAAAACTGTTCCCCACATCTGCTACCCCCTCAATGAAAAAGTTGAAAAGTTCAGTAACCTGCTTCAGCCAGCAAGGCAAGTTAACGTGCTTCTTCCGTTTTACGTTTAAGGACTCGAGACGACGCCACACGTTTTTATTGTTAATGTTATTAGTTAGAAAATCAAAGTATGCTCGCTTTTCTGCTACCGTCTGTTACCGTACGGGAAGTTAAATTTCGCAAATCTTTGTAATACTCCCAGGTACCGCTACTACCAGTTAGTTTGAATCTTTTCTTAGCAGTGTCTCGAAGTTCCATCATTAATTTTAAATTTTCAGTTAACCAAGGAGGGTTAATTTTAGAGAAAATACACTTTTTTATGGGTGCATGTTGATCAAACAGCGATAGGATCTTACTATTAAAATAATTCACCTTCTCATTAACAGAATTTATTCTCAATATGGAGTCAAAAGGAATAAGATTCAGGTCATTAGTAAATTGCTCTAGATTAATGTGCTAACATTGCTAAATGCTACGAAGGTAACGGACAGTCGGCACGTCACGATTCGCACGCACAGCAAGATCGCAGAAGACGACGCAGTGGTCAAAAAAGGCACAGTCAGCCACACCCGAAGAGACAACCAAAGACGTATCAAACGATACAATAAGATCTAAAAGTGTATCGGACAATGCGGTTGTCCTGGTCGGACAATCAATCAATTGGGTTGCTTTCCATGCGTCCAGGAAGGAAAATAACCGAAGCGTATCTCAGCTTCCAGAGTTGAGCACATTAATGTTAAACAGAGAATTCGGTCAGTTAGGAGCAGGCAGTTCGCAACCGTGTCATCCAGCTCACCCAAAAACAGAACAGTTGACATTACCCGTCTGTAGGCAACTCCCACCGCGATATCACCGCCACGCAAATGCAGTAACATCCAAAGTTGTTCAATGTCAGCATGATCAATTTGCCTCCACATCATTCCTTATCTGAGCCAGATTGTTTATAGAATGAATTGTCGAAATTATTCAATAATAGGGATTAGATTTTGCACAGCAAACTTTGTAATAGTTGTTGCTATTTTGTCCCATTTGCCAAGATAACGCCATCGTTATAACTATTCCTGTTAGTACTTTGGGTTATTGAATGGAATAGGAATATAAATCGGGCGGGTTGATTGAAATTAGATAGATTCTTCGTCTAGGATGCTGAGTTACATTAGATTTCCGATTTGGGAGTTGACCTACATAACTAGTTTATTGTCGCAAAATTCTCTTGTCTAAACTGCCTCTCCACTCTTTAAATGCATCCTTTTTTGTGCTATTGTTCCATAGTTCTTCACTCAATTTCCTTCAATTCAATATCTTTGTTGTTCTTTGAAGAGATCATTCTCAACTAAGAATCACCGATTTTCTCGGTATTTAGATAGTTCATATTGTTATACTAATTATAGAGAGCTTGTTAAAGCTTGTACAAGAGTAAGAACCTTTTTTGTTATTTTTATTTTATTACATATGTTTATTACATTGTAGATAACAACTGTAACCACTTTCATATTTTTATATCAACTAACTTGATAAACAAAATTCAATACATATCACAGTTAAAATGGTAATTTAATTTTCAAATATTTATTAATCATGATAGTGTGATGAACTAGATTGAGACTTAGATTCAACAGTAGCAAAGACGAACCCACTAAAATGAGGATATCTTTCAAACCTTTAAGTAATAATCAGAGTCCCCAGAATGAAGTCGTTTTTTGGGTTATCCAGGGCCGTTTAATTGACTAATAACCAGAGCCACGACGTTGTCGGGCAAGTCATTGGCGGCTCGTCTCCTTGCTGTAGAGAATCGGGCCACATGGAGCACATCACGCCACATATAGTATACCACGCCACTGGTTGAGTTTTAGTCGGACAATCGGCCAAACACGTATTGAACGCTGCACCGCAGAGAACCCACACAAATTTTACATGGGCCAGCATTCAACCAGTATCGTTACGTTGCGGTACATCGATGTGCTCTATAGAAGCATGTTACTACTACGCTATAACCCGTTCGCCGCTCTATACAGATGGTGACATCAACAGCCCGAAACGTCGCGGCTCTGCTAATAACTGAATTAGAAAGAAAAATCATTGAGGAGGTATTAAGTACAAATTTATTATCTATCATTATCGTGTTTGAGTACTCAGAGTATCTTCATTGCTAACTCATTAGATACATTAAAAACAAATATGGTAGATGAGTTTAAAAACAGTATAAGTTAAAGCATATGATAAAGTTATAATTTGATCGTACAATTTCAATAGCCATTAATGAGTTAAAATCTGTGTCGGATTTCAATTCAAATCTGTACTGCAATTCCTCTTCTGTTCATGGTAATGTAATTTGAACTCTTTCTCTCTATTTAAAGTTCTTTATAGGCTATTACGATAGTCTTTTCCATACCGCAAATACATTACGTCCAACCACTTGAATGCCAATGAAAAGAAAAGAAAATTTAAAGAAATCAGACGATTGCATTTCATCAACTACAAATTTTTTGCCGATGTATTTTATTAATTGTATCCAATCATGTAAATGATAAATCTGTTTCCTTTTTTTCTTTTCTGTTATGCCTTAATTGGTGTCTACTTCAAGGTGACTATCTCCTGGAATCATGAACTTATGATTAATTGCCTCAATAACAGTCTTTTGTAAAACCCAACTAAACGTTGAACTCGCATGGTAATTTCTATTTTGACCTCCACGTTAATCAGAATATAGCATGACATATTTGGTGTTGGTAGAAACTTATATACTTGTAAAGACAAGATGCAATTTGGTTTGCTCCTCATTCGACAAATATCTCATCTCATACATAGCATACTGCAACTCCAGTTTTATTATTTAAAATCGTTAAATGTTCAGAGTTGACGTTTAAAAACGCAACTCAGGAACAAGCTAGCGTAGGTAAACATTGTTGCAATTTAAAAGTGCTAAAATTATGCGATTAATATATGCCATTAAAATGCGAATCTAATCGTGTCTCCTTTACGTGAAATATTTTGACTGTCATACAAAAAATGTTTCGAAAGAAAGTACAATAAACTAACAAAGTGCTATGGTTTGGTTATCCGAAGATATTCTGAATCTGTGCAACATATAAACAAAGAACTTTTGGGCAGAATATTATTGTAAAAGTTTCATAAATGAAAAGTCACAACATCAAAACTATCCGGAAGACTGAGACAATTGGTGTAAAGTCGAATTCGCCGGCATATTTAACAGTTTTCGTCATCAATTCCACCGTTGAGTTTACAGATTTTAGAGAAATTAAAGCCCATTTGTCAGGACTTATCTCATAATGAACTGCTCGAACGTTGCTTGCAAGAATACGCTCGCACGATTTCGCAAGAAACGTAAACAACCCATTACAGAAACGAAAGGGCAAACGTGCATAATATGTATGACCTGTACGAAGGATCCCTTTATGGTTCTGAAATAGCAAATTAACTGTAAATACTTGTATTTCAAAGTTTCCATAACATAAAAGTTATGAAAGCTTATTATACTAACTATTTAATAATATTATTTTATTAACTATTAGTTTTAGATAAGCAGAATACGGAGCTTCTGCTCATCAGGGTTTCCGTGAAAAATGACGTGTTTTTGTATTGTTCTTGTAAAGCTGCTCAATATGCGTGCTAACGTGTAGGATATACCCTGGTATAAATAACCTTAAACAGTTTTACATAAAACATCCTCTTCCTCCTCTAAGAACCCATCTACAGAGGCACTTAACAGCCGTCTATTCTTGTATATAAACATCTATTCTTACGAGAACGTAAGAATAAAAGCCCAAGACTATCACAATCATCTTACGTTCGCCATCTTAATTACTATAAATTTGTTTTCCTCAATTTGCTAGTAAGGTGAAGGATAGCATCCCCAACACACCGCCAAACATTTGTCGGCACCATTATTACTTGTTGCCATTTGTTAACCGCAATGCCACAACTTAAGATTTTTATTGAAATTCTTAGTTTTGATATAAGTCTCTTGTTTCTATTTTTTTCTATTCAGTTCAAACACAATATTGAGCAATCATCACATATCTTTCTATTATTAAAGCTTCTAAAGAGATGAAGTACCACATCCAATATTGTTGACCAGCAATAATAACAATTCCAATAAATATTAATATTTGTGAAATGTTGTGTATATAAAACAAGTAAATAAAAGCAGTCTTAAGAAAGGCACTCCTAATCCCGAATATTTTTAGTTTAGTTCTGTTAGTTTTAGTGCTAGTGTTAGCTCCAGTTTTACTTTTTATTCAGCCTTAGGTTGCTGTATATTTTTAATGAACTAAAACTAGAAATAACACTACAGACGTCTTCATGGTATTAAGAGACGCACTGCTAAACCCTAAACTTTCTAGTTCTAGGTGTAGTGTTAGTTTTAATTGTTATTTAGCGCCAAGTTGTTGTATATTTGAAATACTTCGAAGTTGTTTCTGAAGAAGGTTATAGTGTTAATGTTAGTTCTAGTTTTAGTTCAATATAATACATTAATTATAATAAAAGTAATAATAATTGTGTAAATAATATCTATTTCGCACCCTATTGAAAGCGTGTGTATATGTTGTAGCTAGCGCGCATATATGCGTTTTGGCGATAATGGCCAGGACAATCCGCGCATATCTCAGTTTATGAAGCAAATGGGTTAAATTACATATATGGATTTAATACAAAAACCAAACAATAATCCGCCACGTGTGACTGTGCAAGAGTGTACTGGAAGGTTAATCTAATTACAGACTTTATACATTCAGAGCATTTTTAATCTCTTCATACCTGCTACGTCATGCCAACGCAAACGGCGTATGGTTGCCGATTTGGTGAACGGCCTATTTCTATTAGTTAAGAATTGTTGGCAGCCGCAAACGTACAAATTTTACATTGTTAAAATCGTTGACGGTTGATGAACTAATTGTTCATGTTAAGCAAATGATTTTTGTTTACATAATTGCATACCTATATGGGAACACACCTGAATATAGCCACACAAACGCCTTCGAAATGATTAATGCTGTTAATATCCTTAATTTCATCAACAATGTAGATTTTTGAATAGTTGTTGTTACGCCTCTACAACACACTCTTTATGAATAGCTTAATAATATTGAGCAAAAACAGAATACATAATCAAAATGAGTTAGAGTTGCGTTAAATATTATAAATACCTTAGTTCTTCTATCAATTTTTCTTCATCTCTCCAAAATTTGGCTTTTATTGCCTTTATTTCCTTATTAATAAACAAATATTATTCTTTGATCCTTTTTTTATCAGGAACATTGGTCCGAGGCGCAACAAGAACGTTTGGAACTGCAAAGAGCACGAGTTTTAGAAGTTAACAGACATTTGGCCGCCCTCACAGATAGTTGGGAACGTGGTGGTTTGCCTCTGCATATGAATTTAGCCGTTAACCATTATTTTCAACCACCACACGACTTAGCTGGAAGATTAAAACAACAAAATCATCTTTTAACTGAGGTAAATGACAGTAACAAAAATTTAATATACAGTAAAACCTCCATATAACGGACTAATACGGGGAAGGGAGTGTCCGTTATATGAAAAATTTTTAATTTGCGAACGTCTGAAAACGCATGGCTAAATCCATGAAAGTTTTCTAGGTCTAGTGTAAATTCTAGTTTTATAAATAATAGTAAAAAATATGCAACAATCTAACGCTAAATAACAACTAAAACTAGAACTAACAGTAGAACTAGAAACATTCGGGTTTAGCTGTCTTAAAAGACGTACAGCTAAAGCCGAATGTTTCTAGGTCTAGTGTTAGTTCTACTTCTCGTTCAATAAAAATATACAATAATCTAGCGCTGAATAACAATTAAAACTAGAATTACCGTCCTTGATTTATACATCGTATAGACAACTCGGGGAATACCCCAAGTTTATCTATGAACATGGAATAGAGCAACTTCAAGAATAACACGAGTTGCATGTTATATATACATTGTTAAATATACTGATGTATTAAATAGATAATATTAATAGTATGACTTAAAAATATTTTAAAATTAAAGCGTAAGGGTTTATTTGATCCATGATCGACCAGTTTTTGATAATTGAAATAATTAATCAATCTGTACTTTTTACTGGTTTTAAATTTATTAATTACTTTGTCTTACATGTTTCGATAAGTGTTTTTTTTAACGTTGTTAAAAAAAAATGTTTTTTTTTAACGACAGTACAGATGTTAATACCACAAATAACTTACAGAAAAAGAATTTAATTTTACACCCGATTTTAATTGTTTCACGTTAAATCTTAATTTTAAAATGTTTCTTCTTAATAATTTTGACGCACGTCTCTGAAGATGATAAATATTTATCGAAACATGTAAGACAAAGTAATTAATAAATTTAAAACCAGTAAAAAGTACAGATTGATTAATTATTTCAATTAAAAATATTTTGTCCGTTATATCCGAAGTCTGTTCTAATGAGCTCCGCTGTATCGAGGTTTTACTGTATTAAAAAAAACGTTTTTAATGATATGTAATTTCTTGTATATGGAGGCTTTATTATTATTTTAATATATGAAATACGACACCAATTTGTTCCTTTAACTCATGGTTTAACAATACTAAATAACATATATGGACTGAAAGTCAAAACAAATAATATAACCCCACAAGATCATCATCAAAAAACAAAGAATACAGATATAGAAAATGTGAAAGGAGATATGAATAAAAAGAATAAACCAACTATTACACAATCCTTAATTACACAATTCATGACTAGACAAAGTAATACAGGCAGATTTTTCCGGAAAACGATCTTAGTACACAAGGAAATAATAACAACAGTACTCATAATAAAGAATTTTGTAAAATTAAATTTATACCGACATTAATAAATAAAGTAACGAACATTTTTAAGAAGTATGAAATATGTATCCGAAATAAAATTCGCTAAAAATAATAACAACAAAATCGGTACTTTAATATCAAATATGAAAGATAAAATTAAAACATTGGATAAAGAAAGTAGATACCGTATATCAATTAAATTGCACAGATTGCGATAAAATATATACATAGGGGCATCAAAACAACATCTCAAAAAACGTATACAACAACATAAATACGATATTAAATAAATAAAAACGCAAAACAAAACAGCTTTATGCCAACATTCGGTAACTTTAAATCATAAGCTTGATTTTGAAAATCCCAAAATATTAACAATAAATAAAAACATACTAATAAGGAAAAATTTAAAGTCAATCTTCGGATATTTTAAATAAATTAGTTATATAATGGAGTGGGGGAGATGAAAACTAGTTTCTGACAAAGAATAGAATTGCAATTGACCTTGTTATGAATTACCAAAAAGACCTGATTTGTGAACATGTTAAGATGCATACTATATCAAGAAAAGTATAATAAAAGACGATCAATAATTATAAAATTAGTGAAAAGTTGTTGGGTAAGAATCATATTCTAGATGTTGTGGTTTAAATATAAGAAAATAAATGTGTTTTTTTATTTGGGTAAAAGTAATGATGGTAAATGATAACGTTTAATTTTGTAATTCGTTGTTTCTTTAGGTAAGAAATTTATTAAAGCCTGATGATGGGAATAGTTCCCGAAACGTCGACTTATTTGTAATAGTTTAGAAATAAACATTTTAAAGGGGGAAATTGGTGTCGTCTTTCATATATTAAAAGTGTTTAATGATTTTTATTAATTGTTACTAATTTTTATAGGAAGTTGGTAAGAAGAGCGAAAAAATCGCAATTTTGGAACGAGAAAAAGCTAGTTTAATCAGAGAGCTTTATCAAGCAAAAAGCAATAGAAGTAGTGGACAAGAAGAAGTTGTATTTTAATTTTAACATCCTATTTTTTTAACACATGTAAATATAAAGATAATGTAAATACTTTAAATTTTTTGTTTACTATTACAGTAAATTAAATAAATAAATTTTGTATTATACTTTTTATTAACATTGTTTATCTTACAAAACTTGATTATAACAAATATTGTTTAAATACTATTCATTTTTACGACCACTTTTAAAGCTTTGTCCATCCCCACTTAAAGTACTCTGAATAAGTGGTGAAATCCAAGATATTTGCCATCTATTCCCAAACACTTCCTTAATATTCTCAATTTTACCTAAATTATATACATCTCCAAGTTTACGTTCATGTACAACAACACCCCTTAGCAATAACTTTACATGAAAAACCAATAAAACGCCTGAATATGCACACATAACAAGAACTATCAAACTCAAAAACATATAAAATTGTTTTATACTGTAATCGAACATTAACATAGCAAGTGGAAAAATTACATTTAACCACATTTTCCAAGACTTAAATTCACTTAACTCGTATATAAAATAAAAATTGTAAAACGATGCATACAAAGTTGCTATAAAAACATAAATTAAAAAGTGAATAAAATATCTTTGGTTAAAATAACCAATACAATTACTACAAAATGAACAGTGATGATCTCGTTTTAATATGCAAACATTACACTCAGTGCAGTGCCATGAGCGAGGTGGAACCATAGTTTCACAAATAGGACATAAAATCCATTCCGATTTTGATTTTAAAATTACACCTGTTATACTTGTGTCAAAGAAAATTAAAGCAAAAAGGTTACCAATTATGTTTACGCTGATGAAAGTGCCCATAACTGTATGAATGATGGGCCAAATAACACTTGGGTTATCTCGATATATGTGTGGTAATACTATAAATATTTCAAACCAGTACACAAGAGGAATAGCAATTATTGCAAATGATGTAAAGAAAAAATCTTGCTTGTTTTTAGGTAAAACATTTCTTCTAAACTTTAATTTTGTAGATAAATGCATTGAGTACAATTTGGTCCCTTAAAGGTATGAAACGTTAATATTAATACATTAAGTATATATCAAACGTACCTGTGTATTTCTTTAAGGATATTTTTGTTTATATATGTATTAAATTACCATAATATGATAGATTTTTTGGCAAAACTTCCCAGATTAAAAATGAAATAGATTTTTAGGTTATGTTTGTATTGATACTTGACAGGTTAAGAAGTATCGCGGTTATGTAAATATTTGCTATCTGGAATGAAAATAAATTTTAAAAAAGTAAAATTAAATAAAATATGATATCTAATTAAAGAAAAATTAATACGATTAAGATAAAATATATTAAAATAAATAAAAATCAGTGTTTAAATTAAGTCCCCCCCACTATTTAATACACCTTCCATGTACCACAGAATATATTTATGTTATTCTGTGCATATCTTTGATTATAACGTGAAGCAACAAGTATGAGTAATAACTTTTTTATTTTTTTTAATTACATATAATAATGCTATGAATGTGATTAAAATTCTTAATAAATCTTAAAAAACAAGTAATAATAAAAATTATAAATTATGAATGTACCCTATAATTGCGCCATCTATTATCAATGATGACTACAGTAAAATAACCATATGTTAATCTGTCAAGTGTCAGTAGACTGTCAAACGCGAAGGTGTGTGTTTCGTTCTTTCACACTTTCTGGCAATATGTAAAGTGCAAAGTGGGGTTAATGTTTGTTTATTTACACGAGTTTAAAGTTATTTACTTTATAATGGATTAGATAATTGGTGGAAGTCGATAAAATGGGATCGAGAATTAGGTAGGTTAACTTTAACTATAAATGTATTCTCGAAAAAAAAATGTTGATATTCATATTAATCGACCGGAAGTAAACGTTTTATTTTACTTTTTTTTAATTAAATAATTTTCTTTATTGAATAGAGAAAACGTTCAACATTTTTTCGAATGTTTTTGCGAAGTTGTCCCGCCGTCTGTTGATGACGGCAAAGATGCCTGGATAATTCAACAGTATCCTTACACGTACAAAGACGAGGAAGTACTTAAATCGGTGTCAAAGTTCGCTTATCCGTACAAATTTGAAAAGTTCGTGTTTAAAAATAAAAACCTTCAGAACGATTTTAACATTGGTTTATTTACAGTTGTGTTATTCAACATTACTCGTTCGTGCTTACGGATATAGAATCGAAATGGACATTTGGATTTTGCAGACATGATCCTCGCTCAGAAACTGCTATTGTAGTTTTAAGTTATTTACCATGGCATCAAGCATTTTATAAGTAAGTGACTTGGCATTATTCTTTCTTTTTTTAGAATGTTCAAATAATAACCTTGATTTTTTATTTATTACTGATCTATTTACTCAATATTATTCTGTATTGTTATTGATCTGGAACGAAAAATTTATTTAAATTCTCAGTGATATCATGTAACAAATCGTTATAACCAGCTGCTTTATGATTATATTTAGGTTTTTAGATAATATAGCAGTATTAATGCATAGTAGGGAGACAGAAAGTTTAAATGAGTTCCTATCATCCGTTTATAAAACAAGATTGGCAGGACCAGGGAAAAAATTTACTGTTCCATTTAACAAAGGAGAAAATGTACGTAAGTTAAAAGTGGTTTAAATTTGGTGTTCATTGTTGTTTTTGTTGGCAGTCCTTTAATATCGAATGTCCTCAACCCATCGCTCATCAGTTGCCAAGTATACCAGAAAACGTAAGTATATAACTGTTAATTTGTAACAACTGTTAATTTGTCCAGGAAACGAGTCATAATTGATTTAAAACGTTTATTAGGTATTCATTATTTGCTTACGAAATGATTATAAAAATTAAAGGCAAATAATTACAAATTTTTGTGTTACAATTAATAATAAAACAAACTCCACCAAAAGGACACTTTCAACAATACTTATATTATATGAATAACAACGAAAAAAAAATGTGATAAGGTTTGGTGAATAAACGTTTCTTATCTTTAATGTAAACAAATAAATTCTAAAACACAATTTTTTGAATGAAGAAAATTCAAAAAACAATTTTATTTAATAACAATGTTTCTTAATAAACTTATTAATAAGTTGAGTAATTAGAATTATTTATGATAAACATTGTTCTGTCTTGAATTGAATTATGTAAAAAGTTATTTTAGTAGATTTTAGTTGTGGTTGAAATGTGTTTTAAAAGATTTAGAGCTTAATGCAAAGTTAAGTCAGAATGATAAAAAAAATAAAACTTGCTATCACTGTTGAAATGTGCACACAAGGCAGTTTCTGGTCACGTTTACATTCTCTTAATGGTGTGTTTACAAAATATGTTATTTACACCATTTAGTAAGTAACCTAGTCGCCATATCTGAGATATCTGGTTGTATGTTTGTTATTTTTTATTTTAAATCAGGGGTGAGCAACCTTTTTAATCAACTGGCCAATTTAAATTTTAAAATTTTTTGGCGGGCCGCACATCAAGTAACACTTATTAATAATTTACAAAACTTTATTTATAATAAACATTAGGATAAAAAAATATAAGATTTAAAAAAAAGTAAAGATTTCATATACAGGTTGCCACACAAAAAACGCCCCAAGCTGTAACTCCGTCATTTACATTCCGATTTTCATGAGCGAGGTAGCAAATGAAATGGTTTGATGAATACTATGATTCATGCTACAAATAAATTTTTTCTAAGGCCACCTTCAATTTCAAGCGATTATTAATTTTTGTTTTTCAAATTGGTCCATATATTTTTCTTCACGTCATTGGATAGAGATTGTTTTTCTGAATCCATTGATGTACAATACATCCATTTTGAATGTAATTTTAGCAGAGAAACGACACCTGTATATACAGGTTGTCACACAAGAATGCCGCAAGCTGTAACTCTGTCATTTACATTCCGATTATCATGAGCGACGTATCACATCAAAAAGTTTGATGAATACTATGATTCATGTACAGGTGTCCCAATTTCGATGTCCGCATAGGCTATCTCTGAAACTAAAAGAGATAGAAAAAAAGTTGCTTACATGTCATGATTTCGTTTTTCGAGAAAATGTTAATGCCGAAAACTCCGAATAGCTATCGTCTTTTGTTTTCGTCCTATCGGCAAAAACTGAAAATTTTGCAAAAACGACAATCGTGAATATCTCACTTATTATCAAAGATGGAGTATTATAAATAAAACATTATATGGGCAACTTTTTACGAGGAATTCAGTGGCGTAGGTAGAATTTTTTTCCCATCTTTTATTTTCGAGATTTTAGACGTAACTTTATTTTTTTAAATGGAAACCATAGTTGGCTATGACTTAAAATAATTTGTTATTTTCTTCTTATAACAAATATATATATATAGTTTGCGGGGTATATTTTTTATAGTTATTGAATAATTAACAAAAATTCATTTTGTTCTATCTAAAACTAATGTATGTATTTAAAAGTTAATGGTGCTATGGTGATAACCATACATACTATGATGGAACATAATGTATCAAATAATTGCCAAAGTTTGTATTTAAAAATTCGATAACAACTCTGGCATTATGTGCTGGTACGATGCACCAGCATGTTAAGTGTCAAAGTATAACAAAACTGAATAAAACNCTAAAAGGGCACACCATACATTGAACCCCAATCTTTTTTGAACACTCAGAGACTTCATCGGTCCAGATAACATTTTGAAGAAACAGCAGATTATTTAATTTTTCTAAATATCATCTACAAAATTCTATTGGCGATGTTTACCTCCAGGTTCATCATTTTTCGTAAAAGAATATAAAAAAATCACAATATTTGCATAAAACGATGACTAATTTATTATAAAGAAATTTCGGTGCTACAGATCTGTTTCGGTTAACTATGTAACCGTCTTCAGGCACGACGTCGTATTTAGTACTTCAATAAAAAGGGATTAACAATCATCGTATATATTACATCATGGTGGAGAAGCATCTTAGTGAAATTTGTGGAGTGAAAACCGCGAAAAATATTAAAGTTCTTTCTTAAACATTAGCAAAATGGGGGGAACGTGTTGTGCAGTAACAAATTGTGTATGTTTTATGCAAAAAACCCTTTTTTTTTTATTTTTCGTGAAATAAACTTATATGAGAGGTGAAACGCTATTAACACAAAATTAACTCTGAATTGAAAAAACAAAATGTGATGAGCTGCGTACTCCAAGAAAACTTGGTGCAGCCTGCTCTTGGAGTACGCAGAAGTACGGAGTACTGCACAACACGTTCCCCCCATTTTGCTAATGTTTAAGAAAGAACTTTAATATTTTTCGCGGTTTTCACTCCACAAATTTCACTAAGATGCTTCTCCACCATGATGTAATATATACGATGATTGTTAATCCCTTTTTATTGAAGTACTAAATACGACGTCGTGCCTGAAGACGGTTACATAGTTAACCGAAACAGATCTGTAGCACCGAAATTTCTTTATAATAAATTAGTCATCGTTTTATGCAAATATTGTGATTTTTTTATATTCTTTTACGAAAAATGATGAACCTGGAGGTAAACATCGCCAATAGAATTTTGTAGATGATATTTAGAAAAATTAAATAATCTGCTGTTTCTTCAAAATGTTATCTGGACCGATGAAGTCTCTGAGTGTTCAAAAAAGATTAGAGTTCAATGTATGGTGTGCCCTTTTAGATAATAGAATTTTGGCATATAGTATCTACCATAAAAACTTAAACTCAGGAAAATACCTCAATATATTAAGGTAGCACATTGAGCCTTTGGTCGACAATTTGCCACTAAATATATCTCAAATGATATATTTTTAATATGACGGAGCACCAGCACATAATGCCAGAGTTGTTAGTGAATTTTTAAATACTACTACAAACTCCAACAAACTTTGGCAATAATTGGAAACAATGCTTTCCCTCATGGTATGATTATCACCATAACAACATTAAGTTTTAAATACATACATTAGATTTAGATGGAACAAATTATTTTAAGTCATAGCCAACTATGGTTTCCATTTAAAAAAATAAAGTTACGTCTAAAATCTCGAAAATAAAAGATGGGAAAAAAATTCTACCTACGCCACTGAATTCTTCGTAAAAAGTTGCCCATATAATGTTTTATTTATAATACTCCATCTTTGATAATAAGTGAGATATTCGCAATTGTCGTTTTTGCAAAATTTTCAGTTTTTGCCGATAGGGCGAAAACAAAAGACGATAGTTGTTCGGAGTTTTCGGCATTAACATTTTCTCGAAAATCGAGATCATGACATGTAAGCTACTTTTTTTCTATCTCTTTTAGTTTCGGAGATGGCCTATACGGACATCGAAATTGAGACACCTGTACATACAAATAAACTTTTTCCAACGCCATCTTCAATTTCAAGCCAGTATCAACTTTTGATTTTCAAATAGGGCCGTTAAGCATTTTTTTTTTATTGGCTCATTCGAAAGTTTTTTAAAATTGATTGACCCCATATTTTTTAATTTTTGATTCTGAGGCTTAGACAATGCTACGAATCTTATGCGCTAGAAGAAAACAGAAGAAAACGGGAGAGAAATCACGCCTGTGATTTCTTTCTTCTTACTTAAAACGTCACAATGAATCAGGGGTGGGGAATTTTAAAGTTTTACATTAATTATTGCAAAAATTAAACAATTTTCGAACGTGAAAACGTTACTAATCCGTCTAATTTAATTTACATTATCGATTTTTTGAAACACGGTCTTTCTAATCGATTGACCTTAATGGCCCTATTGTTCAGTATGTATTTTTTCACGTTATAGGATAGAGATTTTATTTCTGAACCCATTGATGTACGAAACCTGTATATACAGGCTGTCTTTTCTCTACTAAAATTACATTTAAAATGAATGTATGGTATATCAACGGATTCAGAAAAACAATCTCTATCCAATGACGTGAAGAAAAATATACGCAGCAATTTGAAAAACAAAACTTCATAATCGCTTGCAATTAAAGATAGCGTTGGAAAAATTTTGTTTGTAGCGTGAATCATTATCAGTATTTATAAAACCATTTCATTTGATACCTGGCTCATGAAAATCGGAATGTAACTAACAGAGTTACAGCTTCGGGCGTTTTTTGTGTGACACCTGTATAAATTTTAATGAAAAATAAAAACGAACAAGAAAAGAACAGAAAAACGAATTTACTTGAAATTTTTTATGTGAAATTTGGCACTGTTTTTTCGATACAAGCTGATCAATATCAGCCGGAATTGAGGTAGCTACACAGGTGGTCATTTTTGATAAATTTCATGGTTGAAAATAATTGTTCGCAAACGTACGTACTTCCGAACAGAGACACCATTTGCTTTGCATTTTTCGTCAAAAGCGGAAATTTTTCAGGGCTCACATAAGACTTATACAAATTTTCGATGTTTACTGAGAAAAATACATTTTTTAAATCGGCATTATTCTGTATATCAATCAGTTCCATTTGAAAGTCTTCGGGAACAGTATCCACATGGATATTAAATGACGAGGAAACATTTTCATGGAAACCGTTGTCTTCTCAGCTTTGAACATTTGGAATCGTACTTGAAATTCGTTGATTAAATTGTCTATATATTGTGCGTATTTTTAAGATGTAGTAACGTTTTCTTTTTCTAAATGTGGAAAGTGAGACACATTATTCTGCAAAAGATGCTATTTCCACAATTTTAATTTGCACTCAAAGCCCTGAATTTTATCATACAAATGGTAAATAAACTGTTCTTTGCCTTGAAATTCCACATTA